TCTGGGATCTAGAATTCAAAACTATAGGCACCTCAGACTTAGTAATTGTCAATAATAAGAAAGACAAAGAAAACTCTGAATAATGGACGTGGCAGTACCTGGAGGCAGCAGAATAGATGAGAAAGAACTGGAAAAGATAGCAAAATACGAAGACCTGCAAATAGAAATAGAACAACTGTGGCAAAAGAAAGCCAATAGAAATAGGCACCTTGGTGCAATCCCAAAACAACCGAAGTATGATTTGAATATCATCGATGGTGACAAATTCACCATCGGTTGCAAAAGGCAGCTTTACTCAGAACATCTTTCATCCTGCGATGGTACCTCTAAAACTATCAGACATCAACATCTGCCTCTCCCAGATTCTTAGGAAAGACTCAGGTGGATAAAAAAACTAAATCCTGTCTGAATATCTGGCTGACTGTGCGATGACCCATAACAACATGATTAATGATAATATTGTAAATGTTTGATATTTAGCATGTGAACAAAATATTTCATAATAGGATTCAGCTGGTTAAGAACTATGAATTTATAGATTTCATTATCCATCTTTATATCTTTTAATATAGAGACAGAGATCTAATGATGGATGAACATAGCAATAGCATAGATGATGGTTATACAGCATATTGAATTGCAAAATGCCATGTAGTTGCTTTGTGAAAATGGTTCAGAAGAAACCTGCCTTTTTTCTGTTACATTTTTAAAGGCTTCTCGGCCTTTTGGCTAAGATCAAGTGTAGTGTGTAAAGTATAATTTAACATCAGTGAACTTAATAAAATAAAAAGCTTTAAACAAAAGTTTGAATTTATGTACATATTACATCTTATAATTTTAAAACTGTAAGTTGCTAAGTATGTCATATAGGTTAAGATAGTTATATTTAGATTTTAATAAAAGCTTATCTTTTAATTTTTTTTAATCTTTTCCAAAGATATCCTAGGCAATCTTACAAAGTTAAAGTCATACTGTCCTGTGTACAATAAATCTATTATCATTAACAGTAATGTAAAACTACCATGTTTCCCTGAAAATAATCATCCCATAGCATGATTTTTCAGGACACATTTAGTACCGTTTTTCCTGCAAATAAGAACTAACTGGAAAAAAAACCCTAATGCGTCTTTTGGAGCAAAAATTAATATAAGACCCAGTCTCATTTTCAGGGAAACACAGTAGTACACATAGATCTTGACTTATGACCACTATTGTACCAGCACTTTCCATTGCTAAATGAAGCAGTTGTTAAGTGAGTCATGCCTAATTTTACATCATTTTTTTTCTGGGCTCTTTAAGTGAATCACTGCGGTTGTTAATGAATCAGACCATTCTGAATGTAAATTTAGTTTCCTCCATTGACATTCCTTGTTGGAAGCCAATTGGAAAGGTGCCAATAGCAATCACATGACCCTGGGATACTGCAACCATCATCATAAATACATGCCAATTGCCAACTTTTGATCAGGTGACCGTGGGGATGCTGTGGTGGTCATCAGTGAAGGATCAGTTGTAAGTCACTTTTTTCAGCATTTCTGTAACTTCAGTCACTAAGAGAATGAATTGTGAGTTGAGGACTACCTACATCAGACTTCCCCAATCTTTCTGGCTTTGTGGACTGGCAAGGAGTGGAGAGAAGATGGTTCTGGCGCGTACACTCACCCGCCACTTCTGCAGCCCGGTTGCAAAAGGCTCAAGGCCCGGTAGTGGCCCAGGGTTTGGGGACCCCTGACCGACATAACTTTCCATTATGGAGTTAGTGCCTTCTTTGTTGTCCTTAAGGTAAAGATAAAAGGTTCCCCTCGCACAAATGTGCTAGTTGTTTCCAACTCTAGGGGACGGTGCTCATCTATTTCAAAGCCAAAGAGCCAACGCTGTCAGAAGACATCTCCATGGTCATGTGGCCAGCATGACTAAACGCCAAAGGCGCACGGAACACTGTTACCTCCCCACTAAAGGTGGTCCCTATTTTTCTACTTGCATTTTTTACGTGCTTCTGAACTGCTAGATTGGCAGAAGCTGGGACAAGTAATGTCAATTATGTGCAGTTTAAATTAAAATATATAATCAGTTCATTATTTATGGAAGGTCAATCATTAATATAGCATCATACCTTCTATATATAAAAGAATGAACATAAAGTCACTAGGATCTGCAGTAATGATAGTGTTAAATAATTTATTAGGTAATTTAAAATATTTAAATTTCTCAAAAAGTAAGCCAAGGCTTTTTTAAAAAAAGAAACAAAAACAAAGATATAAAATTATATATTTTCATGCCAAATTTCTTCTGACCAAAAAACTTTTAGTTCCTTGATAAAACCATTAACTTACTACAACAAACTAGATATTACGATATACAATTATGCTATATTTAGTCTCATATGGTGCATTTTAAAGGGTAATATGAAAAGTGCTCACTTAAATAACAGGAATTTCATTTAAGTTATAAAATGTATTATTCTCCCCCAAAATGCATAAACAAACTACAGGGAAACTGTTTTAACATTCCAGGAAGAGGCCCAATTTAAAACTTTCCTTTGATATAGTACATCCTGCAATAGAATTTTTGAATGTTTCCTAAACAAAAGTTGCTACCAGACAAGACTGATTTAATTCTGCTGAAAAATTACTTCCCTACATGTTAGTTAATCAGAAACATCACTAAAACAGTGGCACACAAATATTTAATGTATGCAGTATTATAGTATATTGTAATAGAGTGAGGACTCTGTGATTTAGTGGCCATATAAGCACTAGGGTTTTTTTTTTTTTTTTTTTTTTTTTTTTCAAGGGAGACCAAAGAAAGAGGAAGAGGAGAGGAGAATGGAATGGGATGGTTCGAAGTTCTTTTAGTTTTTTAAATGCCATGCTCCAATGTTTTACTTGAGATTCCTCTTGTCGCATTCAGTTAAACATTTCTTCCTAGCCAAATAATGTACCATTTAGATTTAGTGTAGAAAGCCAGCAACCTTGAAATTCTCTTTATAAAGTTACAGTGCGTCAACATTTACAACATTTTTGCAAAACCCATTATAATCAGCAGATTTTAAAAACTGACTAGAAAATAAAAATGGATTCTCTGCTATATTCCAGGAAGGCACAGTGAGTCACAGCTGGACTCTTTTATATAAAATGGCATAGTTCTGACATGATATGATGAACTGATTTCATATTTCAGACAAGAACAAGGATAATGTATTTTTTAATATTTTTTTATAATACTGAATCTCAAATGATTCATCAGTATACAATAGTGTAAAACAACTCTTAGAGACAAAAAACTAGAATAAACAAAAAAGCAATAATGCAAATAATTATTCATGTTAGTTAATAATTCATTAAACTTGAATGGCACTTGAATTTCACCAAATTCTGGGCAATTCACAACAATCCAATTAACAGAATAGTGATAGTTTTTATTGCCCAAATGCTTTCTGGGACAATTCAATCTTCAGTGGATTCTGAAAGGCCAGCAGTGGGGATGCTGGCCTGACATCCAGAGCGCAGCCATTCTATAAATGGGGCCCACAGCTGGAAACCATTGTTTGTGTTCTTCCCCACCTACACACACATCTGAGAATCAGCAAAAGTCTTAGTGAGAATTATGTACTGTGCAGATAAATTGGATGTGCCATCCCCATACAGAGGAGGCTGTAAGTCTGTAAATGCTAAGCCATATAAATATTTATGGATTAAATCCAAGGCTTTGAATTGCACAGAGAAATTTAATAGTGTCCAATGCAATGATTGTAAAACGTGTTACGTGAGCATGATGAGTAATTTGCTAGTTTGTTTGCTGTATTTTGCACCAGTCATACTTTCCAAGTTGTGTACAAAAGCAGGCTTATGTAGACTGCACTGTAGGAGCTTAGGTAATGATGTTAAGTATAGTATACAAGTCACCACTGGGATAAACACATGAGCCATCATGGCTGGGGCCTTCTGTTCCAGGGAGGGACTCAACTTTGTTCAACTGAAGCTGGACAAAGTACTTGCTGGCCATAATGCACTTTGGAATAGCTATGAGATCCAGAGCTTTCCAGTCTGCAGATCTGCTCTTTCAAGAGAAGTATACTCTATTCAGAATTATTACTGAAGACAATTAAGATTCATCTGCACAGAGAACAACTTGTATCTTACTCTGGGGTTCAATTTCAACCAGACTCAAAAGCTCTACTGGTTCAAGACTTCTGGTACATCCTTGCAGAAACATAAGACCTGAGCATCAAAATGGACTCCTAGGATAAACACGTTGGATATGATAGCAACAGTTTTAAAAGATGCTGAAATGTACCACAACATCGGGGTGAGAAGTTTCTGATTCTGATCTGGGTGAATAAATTATTGTAAGCAACACCAGGTTTAAAATCACTCTGAGATTTAGAGTATTTATTTGTTTTATTTATAGATCTAAGCAAGTAATTTTTTCTAAAGCACAAATTTAACATGTCTAATTATTGAGCAGTATAGATTAAAAAACTTACAAAGTTACTATGAGATATTTAGATTAATGACTAAAGCATCTGGGCCATATAAATATTAAAGCAGATTAGGAACATCAATAAAGTAATTTTAAAAAAGTGGTAAAAATGTCATGAGAATTTGGCACTTTATAAAGTTTTTTAAAAATACATTTTAATTTGTAAAATTATATTTGGAGGTCAGTTAATATTGTGTACAGTTGGGAGCAGCAGACTGCCAATCTCTACTTTAGACAACAAAAGCATTGGGCTGAATCTGAATCTAATGTTTTTCACAGATTCTTTAAAATGTAATGCCAGAAAAAATTAGCATAGAAATTTTAGGAAATTTAAAGGTTTATTACTATTAATGCCTTATTATTGCATTACAATTGTTTTAAAACAAGTTGCAACTAGGATACAATAAAAATTTCAAATTATATTAAACTTATGAAAGAAAATAAACTTTTAACTATTAAACGTTTTCTGCAGTGTTGCCATATTTCATAGAATTATTTATAAATATTTTTATTATTAGGTTCAAGGTGCAGGCTTTCGGGGTTGGAAAGAAGTAACCTCCATATTTAATAAAGATGATGAACAACAATTATTAACAGGATGTAGATCTCCAAAATCTAAAGGGTATGTATATAATGGAGTGTAAAATGATACTAAATGTAACAAGCTATCTTGTAATAAGTTTGCTCAAATTATTAAAGCTAGAAGTAAGGCAATAAATCAGGAAAAAGTAACTAAGATTCCAGAAAATTAGACAATATACAGTACACTTAAATTCTGCATTGTTTTTCATAACAAAACATTCTATTTAAAGATTTATGTTGAATTGGAGCTGTGATTATTATAGATGACTTGTGGGGGAAAACTGGCATTATTCCCAATAATACAGCTAGAGCTGCCAATTCATAGAAATTAAAAGGCTTGCAAATTAATTACTTTTAATTTTTACTATTCTGGTTAATCTTTTGTTAACCCTTTTTGCCTTTAGCCATTTTTTAAAAGTTGGAAATTGTTGTGATCGAGGCCCATGTAGTGATTACCAAACACAATTCAGTCCTGAACAAACTTATTTTATTAAAACAGCTGAGAATTAATTCATTTTCAACTTAGTTCAAAACAAATTCTTCATAACCAGTCCTACGGCTTTATCAGCAACCTTTGATGTCTTTGGCAACCTGCCAAAGGATTTTCTTGGCAAAAACCCCACAAAGTTCAAGAGACGCTGACAAGAAGCACTGGAATCAACATTGCTTTTCTACAAAGAACCCAACGGCTTGTTGCTGCTCTTTTAAGCCTTATGGGAGTGGCCAATCATCTTCTGGCCTTACTCCCGAGTTGCCCTTTTTGCTTCAGCTGCTCTTGCCTTCTGGCAGCTCTTTGCATGCTTGCATTAGGAACAGGCTCCTCCTGTTCCTCTGCTGTCTGCCTATGGAGGCTCCGGAGTCCACGCATCGCTCCCAGATGGCCCTGGCCCTATTTCTGCCTCCGACGCAGAGCCCTTGTCTGGGCCTTCCCCTGACTCTAGGACTCCCCAGCCTCCTCATTGTCCGACTGCGCTGCCAGCTCCGCAGGCTGCTAGCGGACCACAACAGAAATATAAAAATAAATGCTTAAATGAGCTAAATATATTCAGTGAGTGAAACTAGAATGGTAAGAGGAAGATATTGGAAAAACCATCCTAATCATCATCTTTCATCCAGTGATAAAACAATGTTAATCTACTCTGACCTAGACAATTAAATATCTTCCTTTTTCATATGATTTCCAATAAAACTATTTATTGTTATCCAGAACAAATATGAAACTTAAAGAAGATTTGAAATCAGAAAAGAAAGGTGGATTTTGGGACAGCTTGGTGATAAAACAGAACATCCATTCCAGGAAGCCCGATGAGATTGAAGGATGGGAACCTCCCCAGATTCCTGCCAGCGACCACCTCAGTGATGCAGAAAATACTCTAAGTGACTCTTCATCTTGGTCAGGCTGGGAAGATGAAACCAAAGGCTCAACGAAGTACACAAACCTGGCAAGCTCAGGGAATAGTTCAAGGTGGAGTATTAAATCAGCTGGAAGGTTGGTCAGCATTAGGCGACAAAGCAAAGGTAACCTTACTGATAACTGGGAAGAACTAGAATGATATAAAGTGTTAGTTATGACAAAGTAGAGCATTTCGGCTTCAGTGTATTCCATGTTTTTCTGCAAGAATAGCCAGTCTGAATCTGGGATGGGTGCATGCATTTCTAGAATACATCTAGAATATTATGAACCTGTTCCACAAATGCTAGCACCAACCCCAGAATACTTGGATCCACCCAGTCCATAGGAAAAAGTGCAAGTTTTGTTCTGTATGTATCTGCAAAAGATGTGGAATGTTCTAAATATTGTTTTAGGTTAGATGATTTATGTATGTACTTAAACCAAATCAAAACACTGCATCTTTTTACAGAACTGCATTATTCAAATTCTTTAATAGTTGATTCATTGGTTTCTTAGACTACTATTTCCTCACTGAACAAAGTTCAACACCAACTTTGTGCCTATAATTTCCACATTCACACTGTCTTATCATCTTGAGTTGCTCTTTAAAAACTGAAATGATTGTATACACTGGTTGAATATTGATTGCATTAATGTAAGATTTAGATTTCTTGAACTTCAGGTAAATTTTTTGAATGCTTTCCCTGTTTTGTGAAAATGCTAGTTTGTAGCTGATACCTCATTGTTCCGGCTTTATAATGGTTCTTAAGATGGACATTTTGACCTGCCAAAATTCTGTGTTCTTCTAAAATACCAAATCAAACATGAAGCGCAAGAACACCAATGTTTTTCTTCTGTTGAAACATGCCACAGATGCATGTTTGCAACAGAAGAAAAACTGTTTTCTTCTGCATGTTAATAATGCTTCTGCATATTGTGGTGTTGAACTATCATTTAGCTAAAGCAGAAGTACAATCATCCTGAATTATATATCGCAAACACAACTTGGATGTCAGCCTAAGCACAAATTCTATCCTTACAAAAATAGTTGCATATAGTTTGACTCCACTTTGTAGCAAAAATAGAAGCAAAAACTCCTCAACTGAGCAAATTTGAGTAATATGGAAACTTTTCAGGTTGCTGTTGCTACTCTGCTGAATCATTATATGTATTACCATCATTGCTGATAATAATATTGCATATTATGAGGTATTTTTAGGCTGTTGTATTATTTAGAAAACTAAGAAATCAAGCCTTTCATAAAGTCCAGCCTATAAGAAATGTTATCACTCAGTTTATGCACAATCCTTTTATAGACTAATTGTTTTTCAATCTTTGTCCTTGTATCCTTTGTCCACATGATCCTCTTTATCTTTGCTGCTATGTAAGATTTAATTGGTTATGCTCTTTCTTTACATCTTCATGGAGACAAACATTCTGTCTTGGCTATCTACAAATGCTTATTTTAATTTGCTGTTACACAATTTGCTAGCTGCTGCTAACTTTTATTACTAAAGAAGAATAATTTTTCACAGTGCAAAGAGAGCAGAAGAAATGTACTCTTAACCTTAATGTGGGGGTTCTTTCCCCAACAGGATATTTTTATATATACATTTGTTGAAAATTGTTCCATGTATGCATTTAGCATGTTAGAAGACACTGTACTTTTGTATGCATATGTGCCCCCATGAGAGAAGAAAGAGATTCAATGACTTCGTTTGAACAACTTCCTTCAAATCAACAAGGAAACACATTAGATAAATGTTTTTGGGGTTTTTTTTGCATTCTTTATTATAAGCATCTTTTCCAGTCTTCTGACTGCTCCATGTATGAAGTTCCCTCAAAGACTGGAGATTAAAACTTGTTAAAAGTTATTTTACACATAATATGTCCTTGTGAACGGAATCCAGTAATTTTGAATTGGAGAAGACAGTTACAGTTAAATGAGAAGCTACCAAAGAGCCATTGCTCAGCTAACTACTAGTACTACTGATTTCAAAAATGAAGAAAATATTAAAAGTGCCTTGAATTATAATCGTTTGTTATAGAAATGTTTGGTTAGAAAAATTTACTGTTTTCTTCCTCATCCTTACAAAACTTTGATTATTATTTGATTTCAGGTTCTGCAAAATGAGTATCTAATCGAGGATGGTAGCATATTTCTTGCCTCTTAGTTACCAATCCTTACTTGAAACCGATATTGAGCATGCATGCCACTGCTTATAGAATGGGCTGTTTAGCAATATAGAAACTAAAAATTTACATTCAAAATTTCTTTTTTAAGAATCAGGTTTTTTTATAGGACTGTTTTATAACTATGCAGAACATTTCCAAGGTATAATTCCTCCCTACAGGTAAAAGCTTCAAATTATATTAAAAAATGAAATATCAGTACTACACAGACACAAATTATGGCTACAATCCAGAGATATGATATTTCTGAGTTATACAACAAGATTTTATAGCTTTTGTCCACCATGTCAGTGCTGTCTTACGTCTTTGAGGATACAGAATTTTTCCTTGCTGCTCTATTGCACTTCGAGATGCCCTTATGCCAAGCAGTATCTTGTGATCAAGTGACTTGCATGCAGATTGTAAAATTGTGGTGGACTAGGCTGCCACAACCAGCCTGAATCTTGAATGTGAGCTATTAACAAATCCTTTTTTGCTTTTCATTTTTTTTTCTACTGACAGTTGTATTTCAAGCTAATGGCATCAGTCCTGTGCTGAGGAATGATAGACAACATTTTTTTTTTCTTTTCAAATACTAAATTGTAAAATTGTAGCCTAAATATAGTTGCTATGCAGGAATGGGATTTTATAGTAGCGTTATAGCTGGACTAAGAATTTAGAAAAATATTTCTTTGCGCAAATTAAAGCAGAGTATCCAAACCACTGAGAGTAAAAGTATATTAAGACCCCTTTTGAGTTCAGAGAAAACTTTACAAATATGCATAATCTGTTGAAAGTGATTTACTGCCTGACTACGTCTAATGTGTGCCCTTATTTCTTTAAATTAATTGAAAGTAATTCCAGAATATAGCCATTTTCTTTATGCAAAGACCTCTTTGGTTTACAATTTATGGAAGATAACCATATAAAAGAAGCAAAAGTATGTTGGCATTGAGATGCGACATAGAAACAAATCCAGGAGTGAAACTTAAAAGAGTTAAATATGTATTCTTACTTACCATTTATCAAAACTTTTTTATACTGTGACAGATTGAGGTTCTGCCTTGCATATTATACCTGTCAAGTGCCTGTATTTCATCTTGATGTCATTTCTGTGATGTCCAGCTTAATTCCATATTCACATATTTGTCCTATATTTATATAAAGATGGGTAGATTTACCAAACTAAATCCTATTGTAAAACAAATTCCACCATCTGCATCCTATGTGTTGACTTAAGCTGTTGCAGTATTAATAACGAGTTGTAATGATGAAGCTAATCTACCTGAAAAGCAGAACTGATATGGATGGTTTGGCCCCACTGTTACAAAAGCTGTTCTGTTCATTGGCCGCAATCGTGATTGGCAATCCTTCAATACAGCCTTCACAAAACCCATGGACCACAAGTCATTCCTCTCTGACCTGCAGTGCAAATTATATATTGAGTGATGGCTCGCCATAGAAACCCTAAAATGCTATCAGTTGCTCTGCTGGATCCTTTTGTGTGCAGTAATGTGCAATATGGTCTATTTGGTCTTAATTCTGGATCCTGTGTGCTTTGGAAGTAGGAAAAAGGTCCAAAGACCAGATCTAAAGTGAAAATTTGAGATATATAAGGTATTGCCTAGTATATTAAAGCTATGGAACTTCTTTTATAAACACGCACAAAGTCTATCAAAAGTTGCACATTATTACATTGGTTTCTGTATGCTTAATGTCATCAAAATTCATGGGATATAAGTGTCCTTCACTATGGCTGGTTTATGTCCATGTTTTCCTAAAGCAGAACTACTTAATACTTAAAGGCAATGATTAAATTTTAATATAATTTATTGATGTGCTTTTGTAGATTTTTAAAATATAATTTTCCTTGTGAATATTTGCTTGACAACTTTTTATTTGCATTTTTCATGTATCACTACTTTGATATGTGTTAGCCTTCCTTTAAACAATACATACCCTTTTTCTTTTTGTAACTATTTGATTTTAACTAAGGTTTATTAGTTTTAAAAACATTGCTTGAAAGTTGCACAAATGTAATGATTCATACATTGTTCATGTTGCCTTTTCACTACATCTATGCATAATTCTTGGCTTGAAGTCAATGAAGGTGAAATGCTTTATGTGACTTTAATTAGTCACAATGCTCATGTTTCCTTTTCTGTATTTTATTAGTTTTACTTAAAAATAGTATTTTCACAGATGAATAAAAACTTAATTAAAACCAATCTAATGAAATTTTTCATTTAATTCTATTGATTATATGTTCCAAAGACTGTAGCAGAATATAGCTACTATTTATTGTAGTTGTAAAGGATTTGCATCCATACATTTGCCACACCTGTGTAAGTGCCATTGATTAAGTTGATTTGATTTGATCCTAGGCCTTTAAGCATCTGATCTTAAAGTTTTCTTCCAAAAACCAGTAAAAATCTGCTTATTTTTTATATTTGTCTCCCACACCTTTAGGACAAAAAGTCAGTAAAAATGCAATGCGTAATAAAACTAAGTAGCCAACAAAAAAAATTAGAATAATATTAAAAAATCAAAAGCATAGTAACAGTTATTACAAGAGTCAAATTTCTGCAAAAAAGAGGCTTTTTTGAGAGATCCTATGAAAGTTTTGCAAGAAAACAACCAAGCTCAGAGAGCACCAAGAACCTCTCAGAGATAACTTTAACAGGTAGGTCCTTACTGCACTGAAAATTTCAGGAAAGAAATTTGGGAACTGAGGGAAGATGGGTTTAAATCTAACACATATTTAAATTATTTACTAACTTTAAGTATATTTTAAAACAATTATCTATATAATATTCATTTATGTTTGGACATGTTGTTCCAGAGCTTGGGTAAGATCACTGAGAATGACCTTTGTAGCAGATTTATAGCAGTTGGCAGGCTGTTAAAGCTGTACTTATTCTAGCAATGTCACACTAGGCAAAAGCTTTCTATCATATTTATCCCACAACTCTCTTTTAGCAAAGGCCCTTTTTGATATTAATTACATATTCATCTTAACAGTTTCTATCCATTTTATTGGTTCCTGTAGTTAGCCCCAAAGGAATTAGTGATTACACAGACTCCTAATGCTCTAGTATTTGCTGGTTTACTAATTAGATCTTGCGATGTATGAGGGACAGTTTAAAATAGAAAAGCAACAATTTGACCATTGCAATTTGAGATTCTAAACAAATTATGGCAATCTAAGCAAAAATCAATACCCTTAATTCATAAGCAATCTAGGCACTTCCAAATAGAGGCTCCTGGTGCTGATGACACCATGCAGCTATTCTATCTTTTCCTAAACATGTATTTTCCTTTAAAGGAAAAAGACAAAGCAGTGAGAAAACTTTACACATGGAAAATAGTGTTGCTTTGACTGTTAAAACAGGTGTCAAACTTGCGGCCGGAGGGCCGGATGCATTACATGGCCACGGCCACCTGTTTTAGTGAAGGGTTAAAAGTCACAATACATAATGTGATGACATGACTTTGACACCCCTGCTCTAAAATACTGTGAAAAATCATAGAAAAGCCTCATTTAAAAGCACCGAAAATCTCCAATTGTTTTAAGTCCAATAAATAAGCTTACATACTGTGAATCGTGCAGTCAACTGTTGTAATGACCTTGGGAGACTGGGCAAAAAAAGGCTGCAAGGGAACAGTGAAATTTATTATTTATTTATTTATTTATTTATTTATTTATTTATTTATTTATTTATTTATTTATTAATTTATTAATTATACCTCCCCCTCTCCCGAAGGACTTGGGGCGGTGAACAGCCAAAAATTAAAAACTCACAATACAAACATTAAAATACTATAAAACAGAATTAAATTTATCATTTGGCTTCCCAATTTAAAAGCCCCTTACCCATAAAATTCCCCAATTAAAAATGTTTAACCCAGCCCGGCCTGCTGAAATAAAAAAGTCTTCAGGGCCCGGTGGAAGGTACGGAGGTCCGGGATCAGTCCCTGGGGGTAGCTCGTTCCAGAGGGCGGGTGCTCCCACAGAGAAAGCTCTTCCCCGGGGGGTCGCCAGCCGACATTGCCTGACTGACGGCACCCTGAGGAGGCCCTCTCTGTGGGAGCGTATTGACTGGTGGGAGGTTATCGGTGGCAGAAGGTGGTCTCGTAAATAACCGGGCCCTAAGCCATGGAGCGCTTTGAAGATGAGAACCAATACCTTGAAGCGCACCTGGAAGACCACTGAAAGCCAATGCAGCTCGCGCAGGAGAGGTGTCACGTGGGAGCGCCATGTCGCTCCCATAAGTACCCGCGCGGCCGCATTCTGCACCAGTTGGAGCCTCCGAGTGCTCCTCAAGGGGAGCCCCATGTAGAGAGCATTGCAGTAGTCCAGGCGGGAAGAGAAGAGGGCATGAGTGACCGTGCATAAGGAGTCCCGATCCAGAAAGGGGCGCAACTGGTGTATCAGGCGAACCTGATAAAAAGCCCCCCTGGCCACAGCCGTCATATGCTCTTCTAAAGACAGCCATGCATCCAGGAGGACGCCCAAGTTACGCGCCCTCTCCGTGGGGGCCAATGTCTCGCCCCCAATAGTCAGCGATGGCACCAGCTGACTATATCAGGACGCTGGCAGCCACAGCCACTCAGTCTTGGAGGGGTTGAGTCGGAGCCTGTTCCTCCCCATCCAGACCCACACGGCCTCCAGGCACCGGGACATCACTTCAAGGGCATCGTTGGGGTGGTCTGGGGTGGAGATGTACAGTTGAGTGTCATCAGTGTACAGATGGCACTGCACCCCAAAACCACGGATGATCTCACCCAGCGGCTTCACATAAATATTGAACAGGAGAGGCGAGAGGACCGACCCTTGTGGCACCCCACAAACCAGGTGCCTTGAGGTCGATCTCTGCCCCCCAGCCAACACGGACTGCGACCGGTCGGAGAGAGAGGAGAACCACCGTAAAACAGTGCCTCCCACTCCCAACCTCTCCAACCGACGCAGCATCATACCATGGTCGATGATATCAAAAGCCGCTGAGAGATCTAATAGACCAGAACAGAGGAGCAACCCCTGTCCCGAGCCCTCCAGAGATCATCTACCAACGCGACCAATGCCGTTTCCATGCTGTACCCGGGCTGAAGCCGGACTGGAACGGATCTAGATAGACGGTTTCATCCAGGTACTGCGGGAGCTGTCACGCAACCACACTCTCAACAACCTTTGCCAAGAAGCGAAGGTTGGAAACTGGACGATAGTTTGCCAAAACAGCTGGGTCCAGAGAGGGCTTCTTGAGGAGGAGCCTCACCACTGCCTCTTTCAAGGCGGGAGGCAAGAACCTCTCACTCAAGGAAGTGTTTATAATCCTCTGGAGCCAGCCTCGTGTAACCTCCCAGGTAGCCAGCACTAACCAGGTGGGACATGGGTCCAATAAATGTGGTTGCGTTCAACCTCCCCAGCATCCTGTCCACGTCCTCGGGGGTCACAGGGTCAAACTCATCCCAGGTAACAGTCTCAAGACACACCTCGGACAACCCGCCTATACCCACCCAGAGTCCATTTGAGCGACTTTATCGTGCAGATAATGCGCAAAATCCTCAGCACATCCTTGCAAGGGGTCTTCCCGTGCTCCCAGATGGAGAAGGGAGCGGGTTACCCTAAACAAGGCAGCTGGGCGATTATCTGCCGACGTGATAAGAGTGGAAAAGTAATTACACTTCGCTGCCTTTATCGCCACTAAGTAGGTCTTGATGTAAGACCTCACTAGTGTACAGTCAGATTCGGAGCAACTGGCCCTCCAACTACTCTCTAGGCATCTTTTTCTGGTGCTTCATCCCCCTCAGCTCCTCGGAGAACCAAGGAGCTGGGCAGATTCGGCGCCGGGTCAGAGGCCGCAAAGGCATGACCCAATCTAAAGCACCAGCGGCCGCCCTATCCCAGGCGGCCACCAGGTCTTCCGTCAAGTCGTGAGCCAGAGTCTCAGGAAATGGCCCAAGCTCCATTCGGAACCTATCAGGATCCATCAGGCGCCTGGGGCGGAACCACCTGGTCAGTTCCACCTCCCTGCGGTGGGGTGTAGGGGTCAGAAAGTCAAGTCTAAGGAGGGAATGGTCTGACCATGACAAGGGTTCAATGACTATATCCCCTGTATCTAGGCCATTCAACCACTGACCAGAGACAATTTAAGACAGCATAGCCCAGAATGGATAGCAGGTGAGGCAAGAGGCTCAGAAGGGACCCTCTCCACTTTCTCAGGCTGCAAAGGGGATGGGCGGAAAGGATTCTACTTTCAAACTTGCAAGACTCGGTCAATGCAGCCTTGCATTACATTAAAGTAGGATTAGCTCATCCGGTTATGATTCTTATCTGGTTTGTCCATACGGGCCAACACCTGCAGAACCACCACAGAAAATTTTGTCGCAAAAACCTGTTAAATTATAAATGTACATTAACTACAACTAGTTTACAGTTGAGATAATCACCCACTTGAGTCTTCCAATGTGAAGCCTCAAACACGTTTACCTTTGAATCACATTAAAGTTGTTTGTCATTGCCTTATTTCAGAGTATTTTTAGAATTTCGTACATAGGATAAACTTAGGATTCTTTGGTGATCTCCCATCCAAATACTAAGCATGACTGTTGCTGCTTAGGGTGGCGGGGTTTTATTGGGTTGTTGGGTTTTTTTACACAAGATCAGCAAGGTTCTATCGCATCAGTTAGGTACTATCACAAGTAGGCAGTGCCAAATCAATGATTAAGCTATATCATGGTTTAATAAACTTTATACAGCTGCTTTGTATTGTAGTTTTAGAGCAAGATCTTATTCCAGAATATATTTAATGTGTGAATAAGAAGTATGCTATTGCATAGACACACACACTTTTCACAGTTTACATGGGTGATGCCAACAGAATTTGTTTTTTCCTCCGATCTAAAGCAAAATATGAAAATTTGCTGCATATTTAGAAATTGCTTTGAAATACATGAGCCATGATTAACCTTCAGTTTTTTATTTCAATTAGTATACTCTCTAGCCATAACTACTCCAATGTGTTTTTCCTAAACCTCATAAAATAAATTATTGGAAAAAATCAATAGAAATGTTTCATAGTGGAACTCTGGAGTATATGTGTGTTGTAGTTGTAATGCCTTTTTTAAAAAAAAAAATTGGGTGAACTATTTTCTGAGAAATTGTTACAATCACTTCACACAATTCACACAATTGTGAGTGTACGTTTAAAAAGCTGCCTGTCATTAAAAA